TCTAATGTCAGTAGACTTGGAGTTCCCTAGACCTCATTTGTGCCAGGAATGTTAATGTGACCTTTATCCCTGAAATGGGAAACCCCGGGGTTGGGTTAATTAGCAGAAATCAGCATGCTCACTGTGCTGTGCCTTTTAACATCTGTTGTCATTTGCCTCTGGATCTCTTAGATCTAGTTTTCTTTCTTAGGGCTTTGACCCAAAGCTTGGAATTGAGTCTGGGACAAAAATGTATCTCAGCAGGGTTGCATGAACTCCTATCATAAGCCAAATGCTAAGGTGAAACTGTAGAACTTAGTCTTCCTCCAACAAGGGAGAGGAAAGGATGTCTTTTGACACACCCAGATGACTGGTACACTATGTTTGCTAGGATTTGGTGCATGGTGCTTGGTTTTGGTTAGCTCCTTGGTCTTACTTTCCCAAAAGGAAACCTCCGAGTTATGGACGTCCTATTTATTCCAATTGCCTGACAGAATTTACACGATAATTGCTCAGAACTAGAACATTGATCTTGATCAAGATTTCTACATTACCAATCCTTATTGTTCTTTCTGAGCTGCAGCTGGAGATTGCTGGTTGGTTAACAGGCACAAGCAGGGTTAGTCTAAAATGTAGGCAAAAACTTAAAAACAACTAGTGAGATTAGAATTTAGAGACAAATGTATGTTAAGTTTTGGAAAATAATTTGTCTCTCTCCACTTCTCATTTTTGTTAAGAAGCAAATGAACATAGGACTGAGTGGTTTGCAAAATAGACTTTAGTCTTATAGTTGGCCTGGTTATTTGCATAAAGTCCAGCAAGAATAATCATTCCTACGTAAAGTTTTTGGATTGGCTTTGATGGAAGTGTGTTCCACAAGGAATCTCAGATTAGACCTTTTAAAGCTGAGCCTGACCATGGGTTGTATCCTGAAACACCTGTGAGTTGGGTGAATCTTTCCTCTTAAAGCCCCAAGATAAACTTAGAGCTCCTGGACCTGTTAGGAAGTGACAATATTTACTGATCACAGACAGGAACACTGTACAGGGACTGTGTAGGCAAGTGTGTGAGGCCAGTTTCCCCACTGGGTTTTTATTGGCTCTGCAAGTTGAGATTGACTCCTTAAAGAGAAGCATACCCTTCCAGTAAAAACCTTGGTAAAATAATCATTTTCTCCAATTGTGTTCTGTTGAAAAAGAAAAATGGATTCTTATTGCACTGATGCAAAAAAAAATATATTACCATAAGAATACTCACAGATAGTTTTCAAATTCTAGAGGAACCAGGCAGAGAAAAATAAACATACTCCAAATTTTGTTCATAGGATTATAACTTAATTATTAAAGGTTGTAAATAGTTAAAATTAAGTTTCTTTGACTCTGAAAAACAAAACAAGGATCAGCACCATTCTACGCAAATGTCAAAAATATTTGCTTCAGCTTTCTGAGTTCAGTCAATTTAGTTAAATCTTGTTTTGCTTGATATTTGTGAATATTTCAGCTCTTTATGAGTCCTGTACATTTTCCTTTATTCCAATGTTACAATCTCTAAAGTTATCAGAAGCCTGTATTTGAGAGCATCTGTTTAAGTTCTATATCTCATTATAAACCATCTTGGAAAAGATTAGAACAAGGCAATTTTCTGTGAATAGAAAAATGTCCGGGGCAGTTACAAGCAGGCTTGACAAAGAAGTTTGGTTATCTTTGTGATTTACAATAATTTAACATAAAAAAAACTTGATTGAAATTGATAGCAGATAATCAGACATTAGAATTTTAGAAATCTCATACAATTCTGGAACATATATAAGAATTATTTACTAAGATATAACGTAAAGAAGATTGAACATCATTTTGGCAGAATAATTCTGTTTACCTCTCTTTTCTGGACACATCAGGGGCCCTCTGAAGTATTATAAAAGCTAGGTGCCAGAAAAGACAATTTTGAAATGGAAATTTGATTTTGGTAAGACTGTTAAATGTTCAAGATTTAAAACACTTGATATCATGAAATTGAATTCTAGATTACCCTGTTATTTATTTTGCCAAAATGATGACTCAAAATTTTAAAGAAGCAAAAACCTATAATCCTTTACAGATTTTGCCAAAAAGGAGATTAGTGCCTTAGGAAAACCTTGTTATAACTTTATTTCAATTATCAATTTACAGAAAACCACATAATACCCTTTTTTAAATTTAGTCGATATATTCACATAGAGAACCTCCTCTGAAAAATGAATTTCCACAATTGCTCCACCACTTCTTTGAACCTGCAGCTTGTTCTGAATTTAACTTAATTCTTTAACCTAAACAAAAGTTTACATTTCCATACCTTTTTATAACCTATTACTAAAAAACACATTTTAATATTCTTACACACCTTGCATGTAAATCTATTTCTAGTAGTTCAATTAATTCCTAGCAATTTTTAACTTTAAGGTAAAACTTGGTATATTGCTTTAATTGTATGCTAACTGGAGCCAATGTTTGTCTTCTTAGTTAAGGGCATGGTTAGTTTCCCAGGCCCAGGCCCAGTCGTGAAGCTGGTAAGTCATATAATTCTCAAAACCAAAAAAGCAGTTTGTAACTTCAAACACTTAGCAAACCTTGCATCTGACCTGCCTTTACCAATAGTGTTTACTGCTGTATTTATTTCTTAAAGATTAAAGTCATGTGAACTGAAAGATACCACAGCATTTAACTTCCCTTAAAAAATACTTCATTCAAGCGCTTGTCTTTCTTTATGCCAAATTGGAGCTCCTTTTACAGACATCATACACAGTACATACACAGACAGGCAGATGAAAACATAGTCTCTGGGTGGGGTCCTTTCACAGACAGAGCTCGGAAAACATGCAGATATTAAACCAGAGGTGGCTCATCCCCTAAGGCAGCATTACTAAACAAAGCCTTGCCAAGCAGTTACCAGACATGCCCCCAGGATTTAAAGCAAGATGGAAACTTGATTTCACAACCAAAACTTTGCAGAAAATACCGTGATATTTGGTCAGCAGTGGGGGTGTGTAAAACATATTCTAAAAGAAAAATAAATTAAGTTAACTTGCTTATGGGGTAGGGGAGAGTAAAGAAAAAGGAACCGTTTAAAAATTTCTGGGGAAGAACCTCTGATTCTTAGGCAAGTGGTTCCTCCACCAGGATAAAAGCTTAATTATTGCCCAATGGAGCTGAATCCCTTGGCCAGGAAAGAAGAAGGCCGTAGCAGTGCCTGGCTGGTAACCTGCCACTGAGTATGCAGGACCTTTGTGACATATGTTCCAGTCCAGCAGGGAGTAGGAAGTGGTGGGGAGCTGCTGCTCACTGATGGGTCTCAAGGAAGGGAGAAAAAGGCCATGAAAAGGCTCAGGAGCATTGGGGGTTAGAGGCATGGTTTCCCCCACCCTAAGAAGTCAGAGAATGAAAGGCTTAGGAGCAACAGTCAGAGGCTTTGAGTCCTGATTTCACTCACAGCTTCTTGAGCCCCTACTTTGCATGCCAAAAATGTTGCAGGACTTTTTCTTAGTTCAGCTAAAGACAGGGTTTTTGTTCATCCCACAGCCATGAAAATGTAGGCTTATGGAGAGCTTAAAGGATCAGTAAAGCAGCGTTTTATTGGGTGAAAATGGAAAAACGGGGGAAACAGGGACTCTTGCAAGGCCAGAGTCCCTGCTAGAGCACTTCCCACCTGGTATTCGAATCTCAGGCTCCACACAGGAAGAGGAGGGGCCCAGCTTCTCCCCGCTGCAAAGGGAGGGAACTTCTGTGGCTTCACCACATTAAGCAGGATGGTTGAATTTTCCCAGGGACACAGTCGCACCTGACCGTCTCAAAACTATGAGTCCTTATATTTTTTTGAGATATATAAAATCACGGCTCAAGTTATTTAACCTGTTCTTTGCACTTATTTGTAGGGAAAGAGTAATATCTTTTCCTCATCCATTACAAGTTTATGATCAAGACATGGGAGCCTTCAGAACTGAAGACCCATAGAAACAGGGAAAACTATATTTTTATGGATAATCATGGAGAGGTGTGATTGGAGAACAAAAGGGTATGATTTAATGGTAATAAACTGGAGAACTAAGTGTGTCCTGTTTGCTCAGATTCTTCTCCGTCTCTGTGTCTTCAATCCTTTCTTCAGAGTACAGAGGGAGCCCTCTGGAATGAGAGCTTTATGACTTTAGAGGAAGATCAGATAATTTTTTTATGGTCTGTTTCAGAGGCGAATTGTGAAGGAATGTCTGAGAGTCCTTCCTGCTTCTGTTGTTTTCTGAAATTCCTTTACGTTAAAATACTCAGTATGCCATAGTGCCATAATTTGGTGTATGGTGTCCTGAACCCCATCACAACCATTCATATTCCTGAGCAAGGACTTGTTACAATTTAAATCTTAAATGTTTCCTATGCTTGTGGAAAATTATATTTCTGAGAAAGGCTTTGAAAATAGTCAAGCTCTTCATTAACTTTATAGATAAGAATCTGAAGTATGAAGAAATGAAATCTCTTGTCTATGGGAATAATAGTGAGATACCTGGAAGTAAAAATCAAGCGAAGTTTTCTATTACATTTTCTTCTATGCTGAAGCATGTAAGGACAAGTCAGTCCAAAATGCCACAAAATCTCACAGTCCTCTGGGTAGCCCCAAACCAACTTTCCTTCTATATTTAATGCTTATGATTATTCTTATCTAAATCATTAAGGAAACATATCAGTAAATGAAGCCAACCTTGCTATAAACAGTTGCTGAATATATGTAACTACAAATATAGTATAGTGACCAGTGCAAGTCTAATTTTTTCTACCATGTATAATAATAGAAGCTTCTGCTAAAGAATATTTCAAAATTATGCTGCTATTATCTCCAGGAAAGAAATGCAAAACAACCTATAAAAGGAATATATTGTAACACCAAATAATAACAGTGCCTGCTTGGGCAGTATCTCCTTCCCTGCAGGCATAGTTACACAGCAGTCAGACCTAATGAAAAAGAAAATATAATAATAATAAAAAATTCAAACTTCAGGGTATTGTCAGAGATCCACTTTATTTTCACAGTAAATTTATCTTAAACTTAATAGACAATGAAAAAGAAAGCAGAGACTACAACAGGAAAGATATTTTAACCTTTAGGATCTAGTTTACTATTTTTCTTAAATCTATTTGTTTCAAAAACCAACTGTGAAGATGAAAGATAAACAGTCATCAAAGTTAGTTAGCTGCGAAGCTGCATGAAGGGCTTCCCCTCACTTGAAATCCCCTTACTTTCCTCTAAGGACCCAAAGTGCACTCAGTGTAAGTGGCGGCTTTTCTGCCTGTCATATCTGAGAAGTGAGTCACTTTTTCATGCCTGGTAAACTCTGGCTGCAGGGAAGATGAAAGCTGATGTCAGAGGAGGAGGGAAATGGCTGTTGGGCAAAGGGTAAAGACCAGAGCTTGCATTGTCTGGGTCAGCAGTAGACCTCACCAGAGGATCAGCATCAAGTAGTCAAGTACAGAGAATATGCAGACTGAAAACGGGAATAAAAGAAGTGAGATGCTTAACATTTCAAAATGGTAAATTGAAATAGCCTTGCTGTTACTGTACAATTTTCTTAGGATGTTTGCATATTGTTTCTTCTTTAAGATCTTCAGGTTTTGCTACAAATACACAAGTGATGAAAACAATATAATTATAAGACTGGAAATTCTCTACCCATGTTTTAGAAATTGGTCTATAGAATAATGTTGAGAGTAATGGCACTTAATCACATGTTTCAAGGATGACCTTATTCTGGCTCACCTTGGTCTGAGAAAGAAGCCTCAGTTTAATTCCATTTAGAGTGGTTTGGAATTGACCCAACAGTTTTATTCCTCATACAGAGGTCTTGCGGAGAGGTATAAGACAGGGATTTTTAAAAATACAACCCAAAGGACTATTACAAGCCCTTAGAGGAATGGATCTTGGCTTCTTTGAGCCTGTAAAATTAAAAATAACATACCAAAAATTATTTTGAGACTCTATAAAACTACTGGAACTAATTTCTATCTCAGTATACTACATCTCTGAATCTCTATAACTGGATCAAATAAATTTAGTATTTAGAGATATAAAGAAAATTATTTGTTTTCTATATTAAATATGAATGTTTAAAGTATGAAAATGGCTCTGACTTTTAAGAAGTCAGATGGTGAAACAAAAGCACATTTATTCACCCAGAGAGAGGGGAGGCAACTAGTTTAATCAGAGGGCAATGAGAATAATTTCTCTTTTAAAATATATTCAGAAATATTGTTTATTCAATTAATTATTTTTTTAGAGACAGGGTCTCACTGAATGATCACAGCTCATTGCAGCCTCGAACAAGTATGCTCAAGTGATCCTCCCACCTCAGCCTCCCCAGTAACTGTCACTGCAGGAAAACATTGATTTTTAAACAGAAGAAGAGTCTAAAGGCAGAACCGAATAATGAGGATCATTTTCTGCTCAGTTAATAGTGAATGGGGAAAGGATTACTGTTGTTGAAAATACTATCTACATAGAGGCTGAACATCCAATCCAGTCAAATAAAAAGAAAGTATATATAAAAAGATGACCCTTAAAAACATAGTAGATTTTTATCTCTAACAAATTAAGGTAAACTCATTTGCCTGACTTTCAAGGTTGTGGCCTAAATTTGTACAAGTCTTCCTATACCTGCCCTGGTCTTCAGTCAAATCAGTTGCCATTGCTTCACACGTTCAACGTTATGCTACCACGCCTTGGTTTTTCCTTTCGATCTGAGCACTACAATATGTGCTGTCAAAATTCTATTTATTTTTTAAGCTCCATTTAAAAAATGTCACCTCTATTTTATGAAGATATTCTTATTTTTTGATTCATTTCGTTTACTAAAAGCTAAAATGTTTATCCTCCCCCTTTTCACTTCTGTTCCATTAAGATGAGGACAGAAGTGGTAGAATGAATGAAGAAGATTATTAGGAAAAGATCTGAAGTTAGGTTAAGCCTGGAATTGAAAAACTAGATTAAAACATAATACCTTCCCTTAGAAATTCCATAACTAATGGACAAGAAGGATTTGAACATTACTAGACAACAAAGACAGAGAAAATGGCCAAAGCAAAGCAAGCCATTAGCACATCACATAAAATTTTCATAAGCTTCCTCATGTCTAATTTACTCAACATTCATATTGTTGAGTTTAGTAAAGATTATTTTGTCATATCATTCATCACTGAAGATACACATTAGTCAGCTAGAAACAAAAACAAACACCAGAAACAAACAAACAAAAAAACCATATACATCTTGTTTATTGCTCTGGGTATGTTTAATTTTTCTCCTCAGTTTCATATTTTGCAGATTTCACATTTCATAGCTCAGTTAGCCCCTGTGAGTCAGATGAAACATTTCAAAAAACTATTCTTGACTACTTATTTGCATATGTATATATCTTATAAGCTTGGAATTTTAAGTTTTTGACCACAATGTTGAAGTCTCATGATAGAGTATAAACATTTTTAGCAACTTGCTCTATAATTCATTCTCTAAAAGTATTTTCTTATACTAAGCCCAGAAAATGTTTAAATGTATATAAAGGTAGACAAATATAAGCTTAGAACAAAAGGTAATAGAGCCTCAAAAATTATTTAGAATGTTCTATACAAGAAAATATTTGCTCCTTTTTCCCAAGAAGGAAACATATAATACTTAAAGTGGAATTATTATGGGAATTGTAAAGCATTACCACTGGGCTCTTGGAATAATGACTTTATTTTCTGAATAAAAATTAATCAACGGTGTGACCTTGAATCAGCAATTAACCTCTCTGTGCTATCAATTATTCATCTGTAATATTGAGCTGAATATTCCTTCACATTCAAAATGTTTAATGGTATATTATGCCCTTTAGAAGGAAAGTATTTTGGAAAATTCAACAAATATTGACATGTTTTTCAAGTATCAGTAATTAGGTGAAAACAAAGATAAACTAAAACTATAATTGTTGGAAATGAAAATATGCATCTGTGAAAAAAATCACTTTCCCCTTTGATAACTTACTCCAGAAATCTCAGAATATAATTAAAATATAAAATAGATTTTCTTATGTAAGGAATACTGATGAAAAGTTTATCAGCCGCTATGCATGCCCACTGTCTACAAGTGACCTTAGGATCTTGGCTGACACAGAGAGAACTCTGGACTCTGGTATCCCTGAATTTCAGAAGCATAGTATTGTAACCTTCCCCAGGAGTTTGAGATTATAATAGATACTCATGAAGATTCTTTCCTGAAAGAGAAAGGCATTTAATTAATTGATTCATTACTTGTTTATAAATGACCTGCAGTCAAACAATCAGGAATCCGGAGGCAGAGGCTTTGGAATAGTGCCGCTGTTCTCCAAGCCAATTCTGTTCAAAGACAATCTGTGTAGGCAACTCCACAGGTGCAGCCCTTTGGGAATCTGGGTGGCAGGAAATGAAGAAAGTGTAGTTTAACTTGCTCAGCACCCGAAGTCACAAGAAGAATTTGTTTAACTCTATGAATTTCTTGACAGTTCCTGGGTCAGAAAAAGTTACTGCAGTAGATTTCGTTATTGTACTACAGATTTGGTTATTGTATTAACTAGAAACAGCCTTAGCAGGAAAACAAGTCTTGGAATGAAGATTTTTTTTTAATATTGCTAGAGGTTATAGCTAGGTTATAGCTAGGTAAATAGTAGAAAATCATAGAGAGATGTTACAAATTTTCATACTCTAATTAAAAAATATAACAAGGGTAGAATAGTATTTACATAATATGGCTTATTAATTGAAAGGAAACCTATAAACAGTGGTGGTAAGTCTTCTGAGAGGAAAGACGTGATAGCTATAAATGTCACCTAAAAGGACTGTACTGAAATGACCATTTAAATCAGTACAATCTAGCTAGTCACTTAAAGGCTTACCAAAAGATTCAAATTTTAAAAAACATTAGAATGTCCAATTTTATAAAATTGTCTTATTTACTTGATTCTTGGAATTCATGTAAAGATGAATCAGTTAATGTTAACTACCCCAAATAGACATATAGTCATGCCTCTCTTACCTCTTCATTAATATTCACTTTGGTCAAAAACGTAGGTTTTTCGATTCTATCTACCAAACATAAAACTATACTTTGAAATGCAAGGGTTTTCCTGATATAATATGAAAAATAAATTTAAACATATAAATAATGTATAATAATAATCTGACTTAGAGCTCGTATTTCTGATGACCTCAAATTTCCAAAATACGTCTGTATAGCTACCGACAAGTAAGCAAGATTCTCATAGGCAAATGGCTTTAAGAACATAACTTCATAGAAGAAAAGACTACCCTCATTTTCTGAACTAGAGTCTAATGAATAGGACTCTCTAATTTTATAAATAACCTGGTGTATGTGCTGTTTAACAAGTCTTCTTCAGGTACAATAGCAGCATGTTGGAAACTAAAGGTAGAATAACAAAAGTTGAAGAGGAGAAATCATTCAGACAGTTAATAGAAATCTATTGTGAATAGTAATATCTGATATCAACACATAATAAAGTATGAGAAAATACATTTATTTAAGAGAACTGGAAAAATATAAATAACTACAATATATCCCCTGTCCTCATGCCTTTAAAAGGAAACCCCCCAGTGTGGTGTTTCATATATTCTATAAAAGACAGAGTTTGAAGGAAATTTTATTTTGTGTCGCCAACTCAATTTGGTCCTGTTTCATCCACTCCCATTGTCAGTAATTTCATTCAGTCCACCTTCGGTCTCTCTCCTTATTATAATAACTTTCAAGCGCTTTTTCTGTATTTTTTTCTAGCTTTGCTTCATCTAAACTAGTTTCTGACTTGTGACCTAGGTTATTTTTATATAAATAAATTTGATGATCTCAACACCCTATTTAAAATTCATTCATGAGTACCCAGTAAACCCAATATAAGATTATTTCTCTGAAAATATTCTTTACTACACACTTCACACTCTTCTAACAATACTGTCCATCCTAACTCTTTTTCAATTCTGCAGAAATGTGTCATCTTATAGGCTTCCCCTGCTTCACATGTGCTGGACTCCACTCCAGTAACACTCACTCTGTCTTTGTCTAGCTAACTCTTAGCTTTTACATTTATTTCAGATATAAAGGCAGTGACCTCCATTCCTTGCCTTTTATTTCCCTTATGTGCTTTTATAGCACCTACCAAGACAGTAATCCCATTGTAGTTATTTGTTTAATTATAATTTGCTCCACTAAAATATAAGTTTTTCAAAACTAGGGACTATGAAAGCAATGTCTGAATCCTTTTGAGTACTCCACTATGTTACATTTTCATCAGGTTAAATAACATAAAAATATACAATTGTAATCATTGAATGGATACAGAAATTAATAAATGTAGCATATACAAAACTAAGTAGTAATTAAATATTTTAACCAATGAATATCAAATATGTTTTTCAGAACCCAAGGAATATTTATATAAATGTTATATATTATTTCAAAAGGAAAGCCCAACAAATTCTGGTAAGAAAATATTATATGAACTACATTTCATTCCAAAATTCCATAAAACTATGAACTAAAATTAACCAGATATAATCTACCATTTAGAAAGTTTAGCTTACTATTTTGTAAAATCTTCTGAGTTAAAGAAGTAATGACAAAATAGAGAAAGATGTGTGTAGTTGATGTGGGGGCTCTGGAAAACTGAAAGGTTGAATTTGTTCTCATTTTTTTATGGCCAGTTTTTTTTTTTATTCTCTGAGGAACAGAACTTAAATACCTTCCTGAGGTCATTAAAGCTTTGATTTTAAAAGGGAGACAATGGACCAACCTGCCCTTCATATTTACAAGACCCAGGGTAAGGGCACAAATGGAAGTTGCTGACCTCCCTATTACCTTCCCACTTTCCAGCTCCAACATTACTCTAGGCCATATTGAAGCTCTGTAAGCAGGTTCACTGCTGCTGCATCAGGGGATATCTGAACTCAAGCATTCAGAATGTGGTTAAAGGATGCAGGAATAAAAATTCATTGGATCCAAAGATTTTTTATCTTAAAGATGAGTGTGCAGCTTAGGACAGCAGTAGTTGCCCTAAAATTATTTTAAAAATCAGAGTACTATTAAAAAAAGAAAAATATAAAGCATAGATTAGGTATAAATTTTGGCTAGAGTGTTAAAAGAAGGGCTCTCTAAGGAAGTAATTATTATTCTAAGACCAAATGGATGTAGACATTAGACATAAGGTGGTTTAAAGAGAATTCTAGCAAAAGTTAGTGTATGAACATGACTCTATGATAGCTCTGAATCCTCCAAGAGCTTGTCAACCTCAAGTAACTCAAAAAGTTGCTTTTAGTAGCTGATAATTGAAATAGGCAGACACAAGATCAGGCAGGGCCATAGAGACCAAATTAAGACATTGTTATCTTTCTCCAAATCAAAGAAAGAATGCTTAAAAAATTTTAAGCAGGAAATTGCAAACATTTTTAAATTATTATTCTGTTCTGTGAAAAATGAACAGGAGGGAGGCAAGTGCAGAGTTATGGAGACATTTCAGAAGGCATTGCAACAATTTGGATGACAGATGATAGCTCATGTAATTACATTGGAGATGACAAAACATGGATGGCTTCCAGATGTATATTGCTAATAGAATCAAGAAAGTTTTATGATTGATTGGTGTAAATGGTGAGGATAAATAAGTTACTTTTTAAAATCCTCCAATTTTGTTCTTTTTGCTTAGGATTGTCTTGACTATATAAGTCCTTTATTGGTTCCATATGAAATTTAAAGTAATTTTTTTCCTAATTCTGTGAACAAAGTCAATGGTAGCTTGATGGGAATAGCATTCAATCTATAAATTACTTTGGGCAGTATGACCATTATCACAATATTGATACTTCCTATCCATAAGCATGGACTGTTTTTCCATTTGTTTGTGTCCTCTCATTTCCTTGAACAGTGATTTGTAGTTCTCCATGAAGAGGTCCTTCACAACCCTTATAAACTGTATTTCTAGGTATTTTATTCTCTTTGTAGCAACTGTGAATGGGCGTTCACTCATAATTTGGCTCTCTGTTTGTCTATTATTGGTGTACAGGAATGCTTGTGATTTTTGCACATTGATTTCGTATCCTGAGATTTGGTTGAAGTTGCTTATCAGCCTAAGGAGATTTTGGGCTGAGAGAATGAGGTTTTCTTTTTTCTTTCTTTTTTTTTTTTTTTTTAAGACGGTGTTTCACTATGTTGGCCAGGGTGATCTTGATCTCTTGACCTAGTGATCCACCCGCATCAGCCTCCCAAAGTGCTGGGATTACAGGCATGAGCCACCACGCCCGGCCTGAGAATGAGGTTTTCTAAATATACATGATTTAGAAATAGAAATCATGTCATCTACAAACAGACAATTTGATTTCCTCTCTTCCTATTTGAATATCCTTTATTTCTTTCTCTTGCCTGATTGCCCTGGCCAGAACTTCCAATACTTTGTTGAATGGGAGTGATAAGAGAGGGCATCCTTATCTTATACCAGTTTTCAAAAGGAATGCTTCCAGTTTTGCCCATTCAGTATGATACTGACTTCAAACTATACAAGAATACAGTAACCAAAACAGCATGTTCTGGTACCAAAACAGATATATAGACCAATGGAACAGAACAGAGGCCTCAGAAATAATGCCACACATCTACAACCATCTGATCTTTGACAAACCTGACAAAAACAAGCAATGAGGAAAAGATTTCCTGTTTAATAAATGGTGTTGGGAAAACTGACTCCCATATGCAGAAAACTGAAACTGGACCCCTTCCTTAAACTTATACAAAAGTTAACTAAAGTTAGATTAAAGGCTTAAATGTGAGACCTAAAACCATAAAAACTCTAGAAGGAAACCTATGCAATATCATTTAGGATATAGAGTTCATGGCTTCAAAGACTTCATAATTAAAATACAAAAACAATGGCAACAAAGGCCAAAATTGACAAATGGGATTTAATTAAACTTAAGAGCTTCTGCCCAGCAAAATAAACTATCATAAGAGTGAACAGGCAGCCTACAGAATAGGAAAAAATTTTGCAATCTATCCATCTGACAAAGGGCTAATATTCAGAATCTACAAGAAACTTAAATTTACAAGAAGAAAACAATCCCATCAAAAAGTGGGCAAAGGATATGAACAGACACTTCTCAAAAGAAGACAATTATATGGCCAACAAACATATAAAAAAATGTCATAATCACTGGTCATTAGAGAAATGCAAATCAAAACCACAATTAGAAAAAAAAATCCCACAATGAGATACCATCTCATGTCAATTAGAATGGTGATTGTTAAAAAGTAGGAGTCAACAGATGCTGGAGAGGATGTGGAAAAATAGGAACGCTTTTACACTGTTGGTGGGAGTGTATATTAGTTCAACCATTGTGGAAAACAGTCTGACAGTTCCTCAAGAGTCTAGAATCAAAAATACCATTTGACCCAACAATGCCATTACTGGGTATATACCCAAAGGATTATAAATCATTCTACTCTAAAGAGACATGCATACATATGTTTATCGCAGCACTCTTCACAATAGCAAAGACTTGGAAACA